AGGGCCAGTAAACACACTTGCAGCACCTTAGTGTGGGAGACCACCAAGCTGTGCTCTCAGAAATGAAGCCCCTTGCCCTACCTTGATCTTTCCTTGACTTCTCCTTCAACCCTGTTGGCTGAGACTTGGAGAAGTGGCTTGAACCAGATGGTTCCTTAATTGGCTAAAAAATATGGTCCAGTCCAGGTGAGAATTGCCTCCCTTGTTGATGACTGGGATGGGGGGCTTGAGCAAGAGCCTGTGGAATTCCAGGGCTAAGACATGAGGTAACGTCTTAGCTGAGGCCATAGGATTTAGAAAGAATTACACTTTTCTGGCAGTAAAGGTATCAGCCTTGGATACATCAAGCTGTTCCGAGCATTGCTAATTGCAAGCCTTTGTGTCTAGTACAAAATTGCTGTTTCTCCTTGCAGCCAATGCCTGCAGTTTCTTTTCCCCTCCCACCTCCCTGATTGATACTAATAAAAGCCATGAGCTTTTGGCCTTGTGGCCTTTTGTTTCACAGAGAACATTGGTCATGCCAGAGCTCCTCAACTGCAGAATAGTCTCTTTGCATGTGTGTGCCATATTGTCAGTGGGAGACCCAAACCCTCCACAGGGGTTTTAGTGTCTCAGGCACAGTGAAAGTTCGGGTGAACCACCTGTTGGGCTCTTCTTGTTTGCACCATATTGTTAAAATAAAGCTGCTGCTTCTTAACATCCAGGTTACCTCTGGAACCTGCAGGTGAAACTTCAGCCCATAGTAAACCTCTTGCCAGATAAAGGAAGACTGATGGACTTTCTCATCCAGAGGAAGGAGTGCAAGATGGTCATCCTGTCTGTGTGTTCACAGAGTAAGTCCGTGACTCCTCCCTCGCGGGGCTGGTGCCTTGTGAGGGCTGTGCTGCCAGCCTGTGGCTCCGGAGGAGAGTCTGCCTGAGAGCCTCACTCCTTATGAAGGCCGGATTATTTGGGAAGGCTGTGAAACACAAACACAGCTTGTGGCAACTGATAGAAAAGACCAGTAAGTCCCATCTTCTGGATAAAAGCGGACTCCAGGGGGCACACTTTGTTGTGAGCTTTAAGACAAACAGCTTTCAGAACCCAGGATACCAACTGCTGTGTTGCCACTCTAAGAACCTGACACTGAGCCAGGAGAGGTGACACAGACTGGTATCACACTACGTGGGAGGAAAAAGCCCACCAATTTGAGAGCTGCCTGGAAACAGTGAAGAGCCTCCTCAGTAACAAGACTGAGACTCTTATACTGATAGCCGCCAGAGCTGTTTTTTTCTTTTTTTTTTTTTGTCTTTTTCCTTTTTATTGGTACGGGGATCGAACTCACGACTGCCTGCTTGCAAGGCAGGCGCTTATGCCACTAAGCTAAATCCCCAGCCCCTGTTTTTTTCTAGTCACCAGAAGGGTTGCAGTTTCCAGGAGTCAGGTTTCTAAAGCATAACCTTCCCTTAAGTGTCCTTCTGGGAGTAAATTTGCATTGGTAAACCTGTGAGATTACTTTATCAGCAGCAGCAGAAAGTTCCTGTGATTCTGTTGTTAAGCTTGATCCATGTGCACATTGTGTCCTTCCCAGTGCTGACTGAGTCAGACAGAGCCACGCTGCCTGTGATAGCCACCGTTTTTGATAAACTCAACCATGAGTATAAAAAGTACTTGGACGCCGAGCAGAGTTACACCATGGTAAGTTAGGTGGATGGTCACAAAGTCTCCGCCACCAGCCCCATGCATTTTCTGAGTAATTACAATGCAGGATGACGACAGTGCAGTGTCATGGAGGTTTGATGCATGGCAGAGGACAGGGTGGCCACAGGACACTTGCAGTCCCTGCATCCCACTGACTTGAGGCTGCATCTCAGTGAGGTCACCGTATTTGCTTTGGTTGTCAGATCTGTGTCTTGTCTTACAGAGACTGAGCCACCGTCTGCCTCTCTGTTAAATGGGAAATACCAGTCTCAGCTCTGCTCTGTGTTGTTACCAGAGCTGGGGCTTAGCAAAGCAGCAGTGTGCCTCCCATAACTTGGCGCACCCGGCTACTTTCCCTGTGGGTTGTAGTAACTTCTCGTGTCCTGTTAATGGTTATTGGTACCATAGTCATCACCGGGAGGCTTCAGGTGCTGGTGGTGAAGGGGTGGAAAGAATGAATGTGGCTGGTTACCACGTACCATGGCAGCAGTACAGCTAGGAAGTAGAAAAGGTCAGGCCAGATAGGTTAAATCAGACCAAATTAGTCCTAAGGGCAGCAGTGGGAGTGACTTCAAACAGTAAACTCAGGACTCCAGTCCCCAAAGCAGGCTGCAGGAAGAGGCTGTGCTCCTGGGGATCCCGTGTCCCTGTCCTCTCAGCCGGGGGGTGGCTGAGCCCTGCCACACTCCTCTCTCGGTCTTGCTCTTGCTGTCCTGGGCAGTGGGAACCAGAGTGGACCCCACAGGCCAGTTCCAGGGCTTTCCCAACTGGTTACCAGGATTTACGGACTCGCGCGCAGCAACACAGGCAGCCCTGGAGCTGTGGGATTGTGGGGTCCTCGAGCCGTTCCCACATCGGCGCGGGTCTGTGCAGCATTGAACCATGAGACCAAATGGTAAGGTCTGCAGTCACAGCTCTCCTGAGTCACACTTGGGGGGCTGGCTCACCATTTAAGAACCCCATCATGCTGGGTGGAGCTTGGGAGAGTGCGTGCCTGGCGCGCATGAGACCCTGGGTTACGTCCCCAGCACTGCAAAAAGGAAAATGCGTACATAGACTCGTCCCCAAAGCTGTTCATTTATTGCCAGTTTCATAACCCGATGCAACCAGCCACTTCATGTTTTTTAGATAACAAAAAGGTCACATGGTCCAGGACTAAGAGAATTAGGGAATTTAGAAATTTTCAGGTCAAAAAAATCTGTATTTGAAGGGAAACTCCTAGTTTTACTTTGCTCTACCCACAAGAATCCTGAAGGATTTTCAAAATCAACTGTGACCTAACTGCAGCCAGCACAAGAAAACTCTTAGTGAGTTGGTTTGTGTCTGTGGTTCACATCTGGGAGTCCAGTCTGTTTTGACTGACGATCATCAGTGCCCTCTGTGTAGAAGATTCGTGATTTATCATTTTAGGCCATGGAAGCAGGGCAGAGCCGCAGCAATCCGCCCCTCAAAAGGCCAGTGAGGACGCAAGCTGTGGTGGACCAGTCCGACATTTATACCCACGTGCTGTCGCCGTTCACGGAAAACAAGGTGCCCTGGCATTGCCTGGCTGTGTGTGTGTGTGTGTGTGGGGGGGGGGGAGTCCCTGAGGTGGGTCCGAGCTCGTGCAGCCATGAGCGGCCTGGCTGCAGCTGTCTGGCTGGGGCCTGGCTGCAACCTGGCTTGGATTTGTGCGCAGAGCCCGTCAGATGGAGCAAATGGGCCTTCTGCTCATGGGAATGCGGTGGCAGGTTGGGAATGACGAGCTCTGTGGAGCTCCCTTTGCAACTCTGCCATGTATAAAGCCCTGTCCCCCGTAGGAGATGCCGCATAAGTTCGTGATAGCTGTGCTGATGGAGTACATCCGCTCCCTGAACCAGTTTCAGATCACAGTCCAGGTACCTTGTGATGGGCACGCATCACCCTGAGTTACAGAAAAGCACCATTGTCTAAACTGAGAAGACTTATGTGCTAGAAGGAACAGAATTTTGAGTGACTTCCCAACATTACTGTGTTTTTAGTTAGAAGTGGAAGGTGAAAACAGGTGGAAGCCACTGCCTCTGAGGGTTAGGGTGCCCCCTCAGTGGCGGCTGGGTGATTTGGAAGTGTCCTTTCTCCTGTCCCCAGCATTACCTGCATGAGCTGGTGATCAAGACACTGGTCCAGCACAACCTGTTCTACATGCTGCACCAGTTCCTGCAGTACCACGTGCTCAGCGACTCCAAGCCTCTGGTGGGTTTTTTGTTGTGCCTTTTGTTGTGATTGAGAATTTTTGTGTCACCCTCCCAACTGAGGCCACCCTGAAACTGTCTTTCAGGCTTGTCTGCTGCTGTCCCTGGAAAGTTTCTATCCTCCCGCCCACCAGCTGTCCCTGGATATGCTGAAGGTAACAACGCCAGGCTGTCGCAGCTTCCTGTAATACAGATGTCTTTCCCTGTTGTTGACCTGCACGTCTCTTCCTCTTCCTTCCAGCGGCTCTCAACTGCCAACGATGAGATTGTCGAAGTCCTTCTGTCCAAACACCAGGTGTTGGCTGCCTTGAGGTTTATCCGGGGCATTGGTGGCCATGACAACGTCTCTGCAAGGAAATTTTTAGATGCTGCAAAGCAGACCGAAGACAACATGCTTTTCTATACTATATTTCGGTTCTTCGAACAGCGAAACCAGCGTTTGCGAGGGAGCCCTAGTTTCACACCAGGTGAGTGCAGTTGCACCTCCGAGATGCAAGGAGGCTGAGGGAAGCCACTGTCGGGTGAGTGCCTCCCAGCAGGAGGGGCTGCACTCATCTTTCCACAGAAGTTCTTGCGGCCACCTGGCCGTTGGCCACACTCTGTAGCCCGGCAGCTTGGCTAGGTGCTGCTCTGAATTCACACCAGGGCTGGGTTTCAGGTTGAGATGCTCAGTGCCCAGTCCAGGCAGGCTGGACACAGCCTGGGTGTGAAGTTAGGCTTCAGTTTGGGGTAAGAAGTGGCTAATTACTTTCATCTCCAAATATGTTAAGAGCCTAAGACAGGGTTTTCTTTACATTGGAGAAGGAACTAGAAAGCTTTAGTCAGATTTCTTAAAAGTTGGATTCTGTTTAGGTCTGGTGGCTTTTTCTTTTCTTTTATTTGTTAATATTTTTTATCGGTACCGGGGATTGAACTCATGACTGCCTGCTTGCAAGGCAGGCACTTGGTCTGGTGGCTTTTTCTAGTTCAGGGTACAGTGCAGGATGGCATTTAGTGACCACAGTGACAGCATCTTCTCCAAGTGGCTTTGTGCTGGTCTCTCTAAGCAAGTGGCAGTGGGTGAGGGACTGTGTAGGTACCTGTTTGTAACATAAAAGGCAACCTCAAAACTTAGGAAAACAAGGTATTTTATTAAAGAAAAATAAGTTAAAACCCAGTGTGTAATCTATGCACTGTATTCTCATTTTCCTTTCTTTTTAATTTACAGGAGAACACTGTGAGGAACATGTTGCTTTTTTTAAACAGGTTTTTGGAGACCAAGCTCTAATGAAGTCTACAACATTCTGAAATTTGCTAGTTTTTTAAAAATATATATAAAAATGTGTAAAAAGTTAATTTATTGCAATAAAGTTCTTTAAGCTACAAAATGTTATATAGTCAAGTGTATCTACAACATCCTCAAATGTTACTAAAAATACAGTCTAGAATGTGTGGTGGCTTACTCCTAAAAAAAGGAGAGCATGGATTGGCCTTTTTAGTGTCAGTGGGCAGATCTCATTCCCAGCCTTCCCAGTGTCCTTCCTTTTGTTGAAGATGAGGGTTCTGTCTTGAAAAAACAGGGCTTGAGGGGAATTTCAGCATCCCATGGTCACCTTCAGATTCCACTAATACTGCTTGACAAGTCAGATTCGCATTCCCGAGCTCGGAAGCATGATGCTGGCGCTGCAATGAATAGCCTGATGTCTGTGGACATGGAGTGGTCAGTTCAGCTGGACAGTATAACTGCTGCCCACTAGTCAGCAGCCCAATCCACAGACACAGTTCAGAGTCACCAGGCCCCGCCAGATGGCTAGAAATTTAGCAGTCGATCTCGCTCTGTGCCTCTGTATCGCTCTCTAGTGGAATGAATTTTGGCTTTATTCACTGATGGCCCTAGAAGAGAAAGAGTAATTCATTTCTTAAGAGGAAAGGCGCTAGTTTCTGCTGGATTACAATAGCAGTTACTGTTGTCCATTTGCACTTCTATTTCAGTATTTCACCTTAGTTACAAAGCTGTAGGGGAAAATTAATACTGCCCTGCTTTTAACCAGGGCCATTTGTGTAAGGTGAAACAGCCACAGAAGTGAAAAGATCATAAAACCAGTCCCGAGAGGTGAGTAGCAGAGGTGGCATTTTGCTAAGAACTGTGGACACGAGGGAAGACAGAGTTGTGCAGCATTGCTGGGGTTGTGCCCTGGCTGTCCCCTCTCATGGGCAGCAGCAACCCTCAGGCATCCACTTCCAAGTTCCTTCACATCTGGCTCCAATCAGGTTGCTACAACACAACCGGTTCCTAATGAAACAGCTTGGACAGCCATGAAGCTCTTGGACAGGGCTTTTTGTTCTGTTAAACAGACACTATTAGTCCCATTTATTAGAGAAAGGACTAGATGTGTGAATTCAGGTACTACTATGCAAGGGTGCTTTAAGATACATTTATTTTTGGTAATGTGCTTTTACTCTGTGTGACCTGTTAAAAATAGGAACTCTTACCTATATAACTGAGGAGGACAGGGAGAAATATGAGTCCATGAGTGGCTCCCAGTAAGACCATAGCTAAATACATCCGGAAGTAAAATATCTGGAAAATTTGCGATTTGGCAAAAGCCAACACTGCAATTCCTCCAAACTTCGTAAGGGTGATCCCACTGAATATCTACAACAAAAAAGCAGTGGTTAGAAATGGTTATCAGCCTACTCTAATCGAACACTTCCTCTTACAAGGTGTCTTAGTTCAAAACTGAGATTATTGTGGGACAGCACAAGTGGACCGTTCCCAGCCCTGCTGCGTGCAGCTTCAGTGAGCCTGGGAGGGAGAATGGCAGCTTTCTGGGGGTGCAGCTGTGCTGACAGTATCTGTTCTGCCTAAACTAAGACAATGTCATAGTCAGATGGAAAAATGAACGGAGTATCTAAATTGTTACAAAGCAAATTTCGGTTTTTACCGAAGTGTTTTCTCCAGTCATAAAGCAGTTAATAGGTGGAGAAGGCCTGACCCCAGGCAGCTCCAGGCTGCTTGCGGGGCTCTGGGATGCCAGCGTGCCCTGGTCTGCCACCTTAGTCCTCCCACTGGGTCATCACAAACACGCACGGTTTGGAAGGTGCAGAGATCTGTGCACGATGTAGCTATTTTGCGAACTCCCTGAAGGCTTGTAACCCACAAGAGCTGCCTTCTGTGTAGAGGACCCTGGGTCTGTTCTGCTTGCTGAATTTCAGTTTCTTCCTCTGAGTGAGGACAGTGAACACGGGATACTCACGGAGCTGCCCATGTGAGCCAGCGCCTCTTGTGCTCGGTCCACACGGCTCTTCCTGCAGCTCACAGTGAAGGCTCTGGTTATGTGGCTGCAGAACTCCACAGAAATGCCACAGCTCTGGAAGAAAGCACTTCTGTGAGAAGACAGCTGTGAGAGGACCATCCCTTCGCTGGTGCGCAGCTGGTGAGCAGGGGTTCCCTAGCCCTTGGGACTTCCATAACAAGGCCCCACCACACCCGCCCAGATCCTGGCAGGAACTTGGCCAGCTTCAGGCCCCGGCTGATCTTGTTTTCTGGGTGTGCCTGCTCTGTTGAGGGGAAGCTGCTGAGGCTGAGGTTCCCCAGCTGAGCCACCACTTCTGTCCCCCTTGCCTGGAGCTCCGAGACTGCACCCGAGGCAGAGTGTGTGCTGGTGGAAGCACAGGTGTACTACCTCTGCCTTCACCAGAACTAAGAAGCAGCACCTGGCCATTGCATGGGAGGCCTCCTGGGAGGGAAAGGTAAGTTTTCTAAATAAAATGTGAACATCTTGGGCCGGGGATTTAGCTCAGTGGCATAAGCACCTGCCTGGCAAACGTGAGGTCATGAGTTCGATCCCTGGTACCAAAAAAAAAAGTGGACATGCTGTCACAGGGCTCCATGCTTTTATCGTCCCTTCAGAACAATAAATGAAATGCAGAATCGCCAGGCTACACTGTGAGGTCATACTGCCACCAGGAACACAGCACAAGCCAGCCTCCTTACCACAGCTGCAAGGAAAGGGCTCAGAAAGACAGGGCCGAGCAGCAGAGCCTGTGCTTTTGCTCCCTGGGGTCCCCTCCACCTGTCCACGTCACCTCCTGGCTCCACATGTTCATCCCACCTCAGCACCAGCTCTGAGAGCCAGGCTTGTTATTTTCTCCGTCTGAGGGTTTATGAGGAATCTAAGACACCTCGTGCAAGGGACAGGATGAGAGCCGAGCAGGACTCACCATCACCAAGTTGACCAGAGAAACTGCGTTCAGACTGATGCCCCATAGCCACATGACGCCGAACATGTTGACCAGGATCATGGCGATGGTGGCACACATGATGACTGCGGACCACAGCTCACAGCCCAGGACCACCATGGTCACCAGAAATATGGACCCCAGCGACACGCCGAGGTTAAAGACTGTGTCCTCGATGATGGTCAGGTACTGCTCGTAGAAGACGTAGAACACGCTGGGGAGGGAGAAGGTGCTCTGCTAGGTGTTGCTCCCGCAAAGCCAAGGCCCCACCGAGGGGCTTCCGAGAGCGAGAGCAGGGTCTCCGGCAGCCGGCCTGGGGCTGGGAGGCTGCTAATACCCAAGGAGAGGGAACAACGGCCCCCAAATGTGTTAACACAGAGTTGTTTGTAAGCCCAGCCAATGCTTCTGGACATTTACAGGGCCTCCCCTACTGTGCTGAAATAAACAGGTCCAGATCTGATCAGGGAACTAGCTCAGGCCATTTTCCCCAGTTAACCAGCTCTCCTAAGAATTAGGACACACACTCTGATAACCTCTCGCACAGAAAAACAGGCTGTCCCAGTCAGGGGTGCCCCCGTGGCCCACGAAGAAGTGTGGCCTCCTGTGCTGGCTTGGAGTGGGTCTCGTCTCTTCCAGGCAAAGGGGCACAGAGCAAGTTCTTTGCATGCAGCTTTTGAGTCTGCCAGGGGCTCAGCAAGCCCTTGACGTTGGTCCCCTGTGCTGGGGACAGAACAGGTATCGGGACCAACCCCGAGGATTAGCCTCTGCCAAGGCAGCCCAGCAGGGAGCGCGCCTGTCTGTGCCACGCACCAAGGCAGTTACCTGTATGGGAACACACGGTAGTTGCTGCCTTTGGCGCTCATGGTCCGGGTGATGTTGTCAGCCACGAGCCGGGCTTTCCTCAGTGCATCGATATAGTCGGTGGAGGTCTGCAGCACGGTGTGGTAGGTCATGAAGTACGTGGCACCAACACCCGTGGCATTGCCCAGGAGGTTCACGGCCGAGCCGTAGGCGGCATGGCCCCTGAGGAGAGGCCAGGCTAAGCAAGGTCCCCTGAGCCCATGCCCACGTCAAGCACAGCTGTGGATGTCAGGGGTGGTGCCCCCAAAAGGGGACATGATAGGTGACACAGCAGGCGTCAGCCTGCTCTGGCCCAGACAGGCCTTTCCTCCCATACCAGGTGCCTGGAACCCGCTTCCATTCACGCACAAGGGGCGGGACCCAGAGAGCGGCTGTGATGGTGCATGCCTGTAATTCCAGCACTGAGAGGCTGGTGCAGGAGAGTCACCAAGCCTGGGTGACTTAGTGAGGCTCTCAAAATACAAAATTAAGAAAAGGGAGAAGATATAGCTTGGTGCAAAGGCTCAGGGATAGGGTAGGGGCAACTGAGGATGAATTCCACTGAAAACAAAGTTTGCTTTAAAAGGTATCATAAGTTCCCCCTTGGACAGCCAGCTAGTTGCAGATGTGGGCATAGAGAAGAGGCCCTTTCTCTTGGTTTTCTACTGCAGACTCTGGCTGTAGTGGTTCCTTATCTGCACGGTGCAGTGGCACTCACCCCTTGCCACACTTGGGGTTAGGGTTATCAGACAGGAACATGGGCAGGAATCTCATGAAGTCTCCACCCTGAGGTCTCTGTTTGCCCTCTGGAGTCAGAGCCCTGCAGCGGACGCAGGTGGGGTCAATCACTGGTGGAGAGAGAACAAGGGGCCAATGGTCAGATGTGTGGACCCACAGATTTTTTAAAAATTTTAAAAAGAGAGATCATCTTCCTGAGTCTTTCCCCTATCTAAAACTTAAGCATCCTGTGACTTTCATAGTTAATACATTTAGTGCATAAAAATAGTTTCATTGGAGGTGGACCACACATTTCCTTCTGCAAAATACGTTTTCTGCTTCAAGGAAGACTTCAATTGGTATTTTTGGGGCTTTCACACTTTCGTTAACAAAATTCCAGGACATAAGCCAGGCATGCTGGCACAGGCCTGTAAACCCAGCACTAGGGAGGTTGAGGCAAGAGGATCACTGCAAGTTTGAGGCCAGTCTGGGCTACGAAGTGAACTGAAGGCCAGCCTGAACTGTATGGCGAGACCCTGTCTCAAAAAGACAAAAAAAAAAAAAAAAAAAAAAAAAAATTTCAGGACAAGCTCAATACTCTCACACAAGTGCAGTGCAACAGTGATACACCAAGGAAGGCCGGCTCCAAGCACACCTGCCAGGAGGTGTGGGGCTGGTAGGGACGAGAGGGGAGTTCCTGTCTGGGAAGCAGCCCCTGCGACCTGGTTTGACCTGTAGCCCCTCGGCCACCATGAGGGACTGGCATGTGACAAGCAGCAGGCTGAGTGAGGAAAAGGATGTTAGTTAACAAAGGCATTGACACAAACCGAGGCAGCGTGCAAGGGACTTTGAAGTGATGAATGCTAAAATTTTCCAGAAAAAGCCAAGATCTGGAAAGGAGCGGAAGTACCTGATGCATTGCAGAACTGGGCTGTGGCGTTGTAAAGTCTACAGCAAGAGGACTGCGGCTTCACCCAGTCAAAATAATCGTCGATCCAGGACGAGGGAGCAAAGCCGATCCGGGTGCTAGAGAACAGTAGAGGAAAAGTAAGTTTCCGCCACAAAGAGAAAATGAGCCTCAGTAATTTACCTCAAAACTTAACTTCCCTTTTTACACTTTATACTGCTACCAAAGAAAAACCACTCAGTGGAAAAAACCTTCCAAGAATCTGGTGGTGGGGGAGCCCTTTCAAAGATTTTGGTCAGGTAAAGCTGGATTTAAAGTATGTTTTGAACACAAATGATTTTCCCAAGAAAGTTCATGCTCAAGTGAGGGGTTTTGGGCCCACGACTCTGGCTCACAGCCCCCTGTGGTCGAGAGGACGTGCAGTACTGACTAGTTGTCCAGCTGGGCTGCGTTGAATATCTGCTGCACCAGCGAGTCATTGTCACAGCCCATGCCGCCGCACACCATGTTCTGCCCGGGCCGGGAGGTGTAGTCGTGCCCCTCTTCCACGACAAAGTACACAGGCGGCCCCGCGTGTAGGTACTGACCCAGGGATCTGAAGTAGTCTATGACATAGGAGTCCTGAAAGAAAGACCCAACAGCAGGACAGTGACGGGTGACCAGGCAGTAACTGAGTGACACGTTGATCGTGGGGTCTTAGGAGGGAGCCAAGAGGTCGAGTCATCTCCAGCACAGGTTTGTGATTCTCTTCCTGGGTGCCTGGGTGCCCTTTCCAGGTGTCCCCATTACAGGTCCCCATTACACCTCCTAAGGGAACTCCCCAGACTGGCAGCTCCTGTTCTGCAGCTGTGCCCGAATGTGGTGTGACAGTTCACAAAGCCAGGAGCTCCGTGCTGGCAGGACAGGGCACTACGGCAGGTGTCCTGTTGCTGGGTAAACTGTGCCCGTGTGCCCGCAGCACCAGCGCCCACACGCCTGCTCTGAAAACTACTGATCCAGGACCGAACAAGTTCAAGGGAAAAAAGCAAGCTGCTTACATCTGGCATGGAGAGAGACTGATCCAAGCCGATTTCCACTTTGTTTAGGACTGCGACACTGAATGAAAGGAGGCCCACGAAGATGGCAACCTGGAAGGGAAAGACAATGATACAATGCTTAAAGTGCACCAGTGAGTTTAAGAACAGAAATATAGTCTTAGACACACAAAAAGCAAGGACCACCCCCACCCACTGTCTGTAGAGCAAGGGATGGAGCCCAGCGCCTCGAGCAGGCGCAGTGAGCGCCCAACTGTGCTCCAGCCTTTGTCCCTCGGAGCTGAAGAACAAGTTCAGGTAACACAGCAGAGAGGACGGGGTAGGTGCTGAGGGCACAGTGGCCAAATCTGAATTCCTAGATTCAAATCCTGGCTCTGCCACTTAGAAGCTGAGTGACGCTGGGCAAGTGCTGACTCTCTCGGACCTTGCTGACTCTCTCGGACCTTCTGTTTCATTAGCAGACTGCAGGAAGGAACAGGCGTGCTGCATCAGCTGTGTGTCGACTGTGTGGGGAAATCTAGGGGTGACCCACTCTGTAGCACAGCACCCAGCTGACAGCAGGTGCCAAAGAATACTTTGTACAGTGGGACTGCAAGCTGACGTGTATCCTTGTAGTAGAGAACTGCACTGCTGCTGTGTGAGGTACACAGAATTATAAAAAGCTCCTGCATGGCTGCTGGAGGCTGGGTATAAGGGTTTTCCAGGGCAATCTGGGTGGTGAGGGTTCTGCAGTGGAGGTCACGGGACTCTATACTGGGAGAAGACTGGACCCATGTCCTCCCACTGTGCCAATATTGAATCCCTGGCTCTGTGGCCCGAGACGTAGCTCTGGGAGAACGTGGTGTAACATGGACGAGACCCTGGGTTCAGCAGCCCCACCAAAACAAACATAAAAAGACGAAGAAAAACACACCATGCTATGATTCTGTACTGCTGTGTACAGAAGCAGCAGCCAGGTGAAGGGAACCCAGTCTACCCTGCGCTACTCATGAACTTACAAGGATTTCACAATAAAAATCCAAATCCTTTTATTAACACTCACTGATAAGGCCTTGTTAGAGACAAATTGTACTATCTGTACACATTTGCTTTTGTATCTTTTGCACATAAATTAACAGCTGCCAGAAACCCCCGACCAGCTGTGAGTGCTTATAAGGCACATGACATCTTGGGAGAAGAGCAGAGCCCCAGCCCAGTGCTTACCACCAGTGGCCGCATCCAGTCTTTGAGCAGAAGTGGGGAATAGGAGTTTTTGAAGAAGTGAAACAGGCAGCTTTCCGAGGCCTGGACGCTCCTCCCATCGTTTGCCCCTTGGACACAGCAGAGGATGTCCAGCCGGTTTTTCTAAAGGAACAGAGGCCAGAGGTCACAGAAAGCCCCAGCGGGCTGCTCCATGGAAAGTGCAGACTCCTCTTAGACAGGCTATGACCTAACAACTCACCTCTTGACGCCTAATGTCCATGCCCAGGAGACTCACGAAGCAGGTCATCTGAAGGAGGAAGTCAATGAAGACCGCCAGCCCCGCGAAGAGGGAGAAGGTATGCACGGCCGGCATGGCTGACAGTGCTCCTACAAGGTGATGGGAGTGCTCTGTCACTGCAGAGGGCCCAGGGAACTCTGCCAGCACCACGTACTTATGACACATGGGCTCAACTCTCCAGAACGTTTTGCTGCCATGTCCATGTGGCTGTCAGGCCAGCCTGGGGACAGGAACAGAGTCTGGGAGCTCAGTTTTGGCACCAGGCCACTGTGCGGTAGCTTCCGGGCCTGGCCATACCCGACTAACCCAGATGCATTTCAACTCAGTTCCGCTGTACTCCATGGGAGTGAAATGTACAGAGATGGCTACGGTCATGTCTTTCAGCACTTTCTAGGCTTCGCTCTAAGAGAGGGACTGTTTTCTAGCTGCTGTGGTATTGACACTGTCTCCCAGTTTATTTATAGCAAGAGGCGACCTACAATCAGTTAAGTGAGGGGTTCCAAGGCTAAGGTACCAGGATGAGACTCAGAAACTATACACTCATAGCCCATGGTGTAGCCTGCCTGCTCCACACTGCACTGACCCATCTTAGGGTTAAAAAATGTGTTTAAACAACTAGCCAGTATGTAGCAATGAGATAGAGAATTCGCACAAAAGTCTGAATTCACAGCTTTGAAGAAGCTTTCAGGTCTGGGCTGGCTTCAGTCACTGCCTCTTTAGATGCCATGTGCACACTCAGGTCCCCCACTCCCATCTCACCAGGTCACTGCAGCCGTGGCAGAGTCTGCTATGATCATCATGCTAGCACTGGTTTTCTTATAACAGAAGTAAAAAGATTGCACCTGTGTCTACAGAAAGCAACAGTAAGGTTTGCACAGGTTTCCAAAGCGCACAGCCTCGTGGAAACGCAACTAAGACACTGACAGCGGATCGGAGGAGTGAAAGACCTCGCCTAGGATGGTCCCACAGTGGCCCTGCACATGGTGACCCGGTGGCCGTGCAGGCCCGCAGTCTGTGACCCACAGGCTGTGTTCTCTGGACTGAGGGACTCTGAGCTGCTTGCTTGAGGATGAAGGGCTTTTCTTTTTCCACTCCCAGGATGCAGCCCTCTGGTGAGCCTATCTGGCGATGTCTCCTTGAGGAGGAAATGCAGCAGTGCTGCCCTGTGTTTTATCCTGAGGTGAGCGGGTAGAACCTCCGCTGGCTAATGGGGCTGCCTCCCTGGGGCTGTGTGTAAGTGGAGGGAGCCCAGCTCCGAACACAGGGGCAGAGCTCTCCATCCCTGTGGAGCTGGACCTGCCATGCAAGGATGTCATTTTCATGTATCAGCTGCTGCTGTGGGCACCAAAAGTGCCACAGGCAGAGGTGCTCTGCAGCTTTGTCACCCTGGCCACATATCAACACTGTTCTGAAACTTGTCATGAGAAAGATGATGCCTGTAAAAAGCCATCCACTTTTCTTATGATCTACTCAATGATACTTTCGAAGTACAGAATGCTGCAAAGAGGGGCACAAAGTGGCACGGTCAGATCCCTGGCTCCTTTCCCCAGGTTCAAAAAACTACAGGGCTGGCCCATAGTAAACCAAAATTACCTAGGAAGAATGCTGTGGTCTCGCAAAAGGACGACAGGAACATACTAGGAGCCACTTCTCCTAGGACCCTGCCCAGCTGCTGATCCAGGGTTTCTCCTTGAAGGCGTTCATCTCTCTTTAAATAAAAGAAAAATGAATAGGCCACATAAAAATTCCTCAGTTACAGAGTCATCCTGTTGCTGTCTTGTACTAATGATTACAGAATAGATTAGCAGTTGATTAGCTGGCCACTAAATGACCTTCCCCCATTATCGAGTCTCTACTCAGCGTCTTCACGACTGTGGGCTGAGACCACTTCCTGCCTCAGTGTGCCATGTTCACCTTGTACCTTTTTAGAAATCAGGTTGATCAATCCTTTGTACTATGCTAAGAATCACTCTAATACCAGTAGTCCCCAAAGCGGGTTAGTCTCAGCGGCTGCATATATTCCACCAACCAAACACAGGGCTGAAATCCTTGGTCCCAAAATGTCCAGGATGAATCAAGATCACCAACGAGCCGTGGAGTAAAGGATGTAAACACCTCCTCACAGTCAGCCGCTATATAGATACTCATGTAGCAGGACAGATGCCAAGCCCAAAGACGACGGACACATACCTGGTAGGTCTGCACCAGGATGAAAATGTTGTCCACCCCAACAGCCAGCACAAGGAATGGGATGACTTCGATCACAATGAGGGTCAACGGGATCCCGATGTAGCTGAAGATGCCCAAGGAGCAGGACACCGAGCTCAGCACGATGAGGATGCCCACGATGCCAAGCGAGATCTTAGAGTCTATCTGCAAGGCAATGAGAGGAGCACTGGTGAGGGTCCCTTCTGTCCTCATTTCTATTTCTTCACAAGAGTGTATCTAGAGTTAAAAGTACAATTCTCAGTTCAAAATGAGACGCAAAAACATTTCTACATGTTCCTCTAGCAATTACTTCATAAGCTCACATTCTTAGGGTGACAGATTAAACAAATTAGGATAAAATCGTATTAAGTGAAATAAATTTTAGGTGTAAAAAAACCCCAAAAAATTGAAACAAAGAAAACATGCAGGAAACAAATATTACATTGCATTCACCTGCGATGGGTCCCTGTGTCCGTCCAAAGGAACCACACATTTAAGACAATTCTGGATATAATGAGTTAGGAATAAGGAGGGCCAAACATGGTGTCACCCTGTGCACTGCCACCCCTCCCCATACGACGGCCCTTACACCCTTACCAGGAACCTGCAGCAGCCTCTGATGTGGCCCAGGGCCAGAGAGATGTACAGAAACATGACGGCATAGCTGATCACAATCGTGAAGACATCGCTGTTACTTTCTCGGTTCAGCTCATCTTCGATACTTCGTTCAGCAGTGAAAGAAATGGTCAGATTTGGATTCTTATAGTTACTCACAAAGTGAATGAACCTAAAGAGGAAGCAGAGTATTATGTTTTTAGTTAAAACTTAGTGACAGGCAGTAACAGGTTTCTTCCCCACTTTTTGATACAAAGACCATGCTTCCCTAACCAGGCCCAAGTGAGTGGTCTCTATGGCCCTTCCAGGAGGCTGCGACATTTTCAGATCCAGCCAGAGCTCTGGTCAGGCTGAATGCTCTTCATGTACTCGTGGCTGAGGAACTGAACTCAGGGCCTCACGTATGCCATGCAAGTGTTCCACAATGAGCTACATTCCTACCCCTGAATAGTGTACCACTGAAAACAGAGTTTTGAGAAGGTTTTAAAACTGGTTCATGTTCAGCCTCGTTTTCCAAAAAAAAGTAAATAAGCAAAGTTTAGTGAATGAGTGAAAGAATGAACAAGCCCCTCACACCATGCATAAAAATGAACTCAAATCTTCAGGTCCTGGGACTAGGCAATGGTTTCTTAGATCTGACACTGTAATATGAGCAACATTAAAAAGTCTGACTTCATGAAAATTAAGAATGTCCATGCTTCAAACATCCCCATCAAGAAAACAACAAAACACCCACAGCACATATCTGGAAGCATATATCTGATGTCTAAACTACATAAAGAATAAAGTCAATAATAAAAAAATCTAAAAATAGGCAAAAAAGCCCAAATACATATTTGTCTGAGTCATATATAGTAAGAGACAATAAATAAGACAGATTTGAAAACTGTAGACTCCAGGGAAAAGCAAATCAAACCACAATGAGATAGCACTTCACACTTGCTCTGCAGGCTAGAACAAAGAAGTCACACAAGTGTTGGCAGAAGTGCAGAGAAACTGGAACCTTCACACAGTGGAAAACAGTCTAGCATTTCTTCACTCACGGGACAGTGATCACATGGCCCAGTAGTTCTACTCTAGACATGCGTTTCACTTAGGAGATATGAAAATTTAGGTCCATGCAAAAAGTTGGTACATAAGTATTTATAGCAGCTTTGCTCACAATAGCCAAAAGCTAAAACCCAGGCGAATGTGACTTGACTGATGAAGAGATAAAGTGTGGGCTCTCCATCCATGGAATGTCACTTGGTCACAGACAGGCAGTACTGGCTCTTGCTGTAGGAAGCGACGGCAGTGTACGGCATCTGAGCTGCAGTGCTTGGCTGGCCTGCGAGCCAAAGGTCTGACCTGACTGTAGTATGCTAAAACTTCAGCATCCAGGCGTAACTGCAGCGTGGCACTCTGCCACAAGTAGGTTTTGGGTTGTAGGACACTCAGTCTCCAAAAAGTTCACCATCGCTGGCACAGGGGAACCTTAAACATCATGCTAAGTGAAAGAAACCAGACAGGAAGTCTACGCAGGTGATTCTATGTATGTAAGTCTAGAAGAAGAAAACTCAGAGAGGACGAAACTCAGAGAGGTCAGTGGGTGGCTAGGGTGATGGATGTGAGGATAAGGACAGAAGGGTGAAGCTCCAGGGTACGGCGTTTCCTCCTAAGGCCGGCTGTGGTGCTGGCCAGCCACCTGGAAGGGCACAGCATGCACTAGCCTTCACACTGTGCACGTGAAATGAGTGAGCTGTATGGTTTACCAGCCCTATCTTAATAAAAGCGTTTTAAAAATACTGAAGGCGAGGAGTAAAAGTCCCCTTCTCTTTCCAGTAGCGAAGAGTTTGAAACATAGGTACCGATTTCTTAAGTGACGCCCTCAGTACTTTTTCCTAAGCATGACCAACATGTGCTGGGTATTACGTAAGTCACGAACCATTTATTTACCTTTTGTTCTCTTTATTTTTTATTTATTTATTTTTGGCACTGGGTATCGAACTCGTGACCTTGTGCTTGCCAGGCAGGCACTTGTGCCACTGAGCTAATCTCCAGGCCATCTTTTGTTCTCTTTAATGACCACATAATATGCTCACAGTCACTATGCTCATCCCTCACTAACACATTCCGTGTGTTCCCAGGGTTTGCTGTTAAACACACCTGTGCAAGCACGCACGTACTCTGGCACTGTTGCAGTTAGACTGCCTATTCAAAGCTGTCTACAGGTAAATCTGTGGATGCATTTCTTCTTAGGAGTGGCATTGTATTAAGTGGAGAGAGTATCCGACTTAGGCCTGACACTGGGGGACTCAGACAACAGGGCACCCAGCTTCCCCCGCGGCAAGGCCGGGCCTGTTTCGCCCTGGGGTGACTCACTCTTTCTCCCAGGCCTGGGCCCGCTGCAGTTTCTCGGGATCATCGTAGTAATTATTGACAGGGAAGGTAATCACAAGGGCAGTGGCATTATTGTAGTTTTGATCTAGAACAGAAAAATGGGACATGAAAAGGCAGATTATGACATGCAGAAAACAGGGAACATGCCTGGGCACAGCACAACAGTGGCTGGCTGCTTTGTCACTGTGGCTGTCTCTGCATTTGGGGAGCGACCATCCTGAGTGGCACTGTACGTCACACACAGTAAAAATTTTCACCAGGGCAGAAGGGTGCTCAGTGAAAATTCTTTCCTTTCTTCATCCCCACGCTATCCCCCCTCGAGGCTGTGATCATGTGTGAACCTTTGCATACATGCATCAGCTCTGCATAAACACAAACAGATTTGTCACCTTCCCCGCTTAACACAGAGTACCACATTCCACACCCAAACACTGCATCTACAGATCCTGTACGCAGAAGACTCCTCTAGTACTTAGAGGGCTTCTTGGTTCCTTTTCTGCTGTCTAATGTTTTCTAATATAATTTAAGAATTTCTTTTGCTATTCCATACAAGATTACTACAAAGAACATCACTATTTTTAGTGCGGAAAGTACAAACTTGTAGAGTCAATCCTTTAAGTATAGTCACTGTTGAAAACCAATCTCATTTCTAGGATTAGTGTTTGTTTTGTTTTGTTTTGGAGACAGGGTCTTGCTATGTGTAGTTCAGGCTGCCGACATGGAACTCACTACAGAGCCTACAGTGGCCTAGACCATGCAGTGATTTTCCAACTGCAGCCTCCTGAGTGCGGGGTTATAGGCGTGAGACACTACTTCTAATTGTCATAGTTCTTCCAAACAGACCATGCTAGTTTTGATGTATTGATTTAACAAAATATTTACTGAGGCCTACCTCATGCCAGGTGTTACTTTAGGTCCTGTGGCTATGTCAGAGGGCAAAAGAGAACAACCCTCTCCCTCCCAGAGGGTCAGTCTAGTAACCAAGTTTCACTTCCACCAGCAGTGGAGTTTCCCATGTTTCACCGCCACAGGGCTGTCCAGCTGTTAATGCCACCCTTTCCTTATTAGAAATGCCGTTTTATTACATGAGATGAAGTAAATCTTAAAAACAGATTACAACTATTCGCCCTCTTAAGTGGATGGAGAGAAACGTGTTGAACTTGTAATTAGGCTTCAGATGCCAAAGGCGTCTCACAAATCATCGGCCCAGTGTATCCTGCATGACCTGTCCTCAGACTCGAGGAACCGGCAATCAGCCAACAGCTGCTCCTCCCCCGGGGAAGGGTCCCAGCTGTCCTGGTGGGCTCAGAAGGAGAAACTGGTCCCCACGTACCAGAGTTCTGGGTCTGGGGTCCCTGGCCCCTGATGAGTTTCCACAGGTGAGCCGTTGGGGTCTGACACCTGCGTGCGGCTGACCATGTGTGGCTGTGTACTGGGGGGACACGTCCTCAGCCTCCACCTGCTTCCCACAGGCACGTGTGACCTCAGAGGTGGATGCAACACACTTCTCTACAGTCCATGGTAAAACCCAGACCCAAACCCACGCGGGAACGACACTCAGGGCCCAAGGGACAGGAATTCAGGACACTGCTCGCTTTGTGAAACCTCTGCAGTCACCCAATTCTAACAACTTTGCCCACCGGAGTAGGGCTCTCCTGCTTACCGTCATAGCCTCCCAGCACAAGCCACGGGAACACTGGTCCTCCGAACGTCCCCAGGCAAGGGTCATGGAGCAGACTTGTGTCATTCAGCGAGGCGGGAGCCCTGCCGTAAGTTGAGGAAACACTTCTCAATTAGAATAAGGTTCCAGACATCTGTGATAAACATTTAGACAACCAGCGTTTCCTGCAGCTGACTGTATTCTAAGCACGATGCAGTTCCTAAGTCTGAGGATTGTCTGTCATTCACCTCTGAGAGCTCAGTCACTGGGCAGGAGGCCAGGGACACCCCCTAGAGAGGCTGACACACATGGTGCATGGTGCAGTGCAGCCAGAGGAGGGGACAAACAGCATAGGGGCAAATTGCCACCCAGAGGAGATGTGTGCTGGCCAGATCTCTAGGGACAGAGGGGTCCCCCCAGGCAGGGAGGACAGAGCAGGCTCCACAGGCAGCAAGAACAGGCACCGGAAAAGAGATGTGAGTGGGGGTGGAGGGGGCGATGATCTCTCAGGGTTTGGAGTTCAACCTGGAGGTGCCGAGGAGCAAGCCGAGATTTCCAGGAAGGGGCATTGGGTGCCATTACAAAGACACAACGGTGGTAAAGTGGAAGGGATGGGAGCAGATAGAGCGTGCAGAGGGGCAGGGTGGACAAGCCCCTGATGAGGGATGGGCAGGGTGGACAAGGCCCTGACGAGGGATGGGCAGGGTGGACAAGGCCCTGACGAGGGACGGCTTTGTGCAGAGGAAGCCATACTTTAGGAAGGTTCCCGAGCTGCCAGACCCAGGCCAGCCCTGGAGGCAGGTGACCTGTGGCGGGTGCAGAGTCCTTCCCCCATCGCCCAACCTTCTCTGCATTGGGGACTGGACAGGGCATGCCAGAGCCCCTGTGCTGGCAGGCGGTGCCCTGGAAAGCAACGCCTTCCCTGCCCTTCTGCAGGACTTGGGGTTGGAAAAGGCTAAGAATAGCTGGAGAGGGAGGAAAGGGGTGGCTGGTGATGGGCCTGGGTCACAGAGGACACGCACCAGTGTGACTACAGACCAGGCCCACAGTGGCCCACAGCACAGCTGTGGAAACCACATCCTCCCATCCAACGTGAGTCTCACAGCCTCCTCCAAAATTTTGCTGACTTGTATGTTTTAAAATACAAATAAAACAGATTTTTCTTTCAACTATAAAAATTATATAATATTCAATGTTTTCCCTCAGTCACCCCCAGCTTCTGCACCATCTGCCAGTCAAGAATGCTGCCTAGGGCATATGGGCACATGGTCAGGTTTTGAGTATGATTCATGTTTTTAGAGGCAATGTCCTTGAAATAAGAGTGGACACAGACCAGTGGCCTGAAGAATTCTATTCAAAAAACACACAAACTCAAGGTTTCAGGATTGTTTGTGTTTGTTTTGAGTTACTGTCTTCCTATATAGCCCAGGTTGGCCTTGAACACAGGGCAATCCTCCTGCCTCAGCCTCTCCAGTGCTGGGATTACAGGCCTGGGCCACCACCCACTGCTTCAGAGTTCTTGACAACCAGAAACCGAGTGTTTGGCTCCAGAGACATGGCTAGCTGAGCAGCGTCAAAAAAGACAAGGCATAGCTTTTCTGTTCCAGTGGAGGCCCAGCTGCCCTGGTGACTAATCCCGGTTCTAATGCAGGCCTGCCCAGCTGGACACATAGCTGCTAAGGGCAGCAGCTTCTGGGGTCCTTGAGCTCAACTGCACTCCAATCCTCCCTGGCTCCCCAAGGGCAGGCTACAGGCTTTAAAAACAAGAGGGATCATGGTATAAGGTTACACTTGACAAACAAGCAGGAGTATACATCTAGGGGCGATGTGTACATGAAATTGCATGGCACTGACTTAAAGACGCAGAGGTACCCGCACTTCCTGTATGACACTTTCAGAAAGCCACCCCAGGGTCTTTGTACTTTTCGTTCATCCCTGTGATATCCACAGGGTGTCTCTGATACCCACCCTGACACCCATTCCTTTTCAGGCTTCTTTTTCGTCTCCTAGACTCATGTGCACCTGCCGGCCAGCAGCACTTTCCTTAGTGGGGACCACATATGCCACTCGGGCCCCTTAAGAGCATGGTGCCGATTTACGTGGTGCCAACACTCTATGATGTGTGCGTAACAAAGACATGAACCAAGCCGTCCCCACTGTGAAGCAGCACAGGACTCAGTTTATGTGTTTGAGCCTTGGCCAGGGATGTGAGCTTTCCTGTGTCCCGCCCGCCTGCTCCCTGCTGGTCTCTGAGACTTGGGACAGGGTAAGCCAGAGTGAGTGCTTAGATCCCCCGACACAGGAGCAATCGCACTCACCGGACGCAGTACAGAAAGTGCGTGTGGTAGTCCGCGTACACGAAGAAGTCGTCCCCCACTATATGGTCCAGTGTAGCGTGGCTATTCTGGAAGTAATTCAGCACACTAAAGATGGTGCAGTTCTTGTTATACGGTGAGAGAGGGGCCAGGCAGATGTCCCCAAGTGTCACTGTCTCGTTGTTATAATAGGCGGTAATGTTTTCAATGGCTATTTGTAAGTCGAGAACCTGAAAGATTTTCAAAATAAGCAAATTCAGAAGCATGTCATATTTCTTCAGATTTTACCAACCACTACTGTCCTGTGGGGTCAGAGGAAAAGGAGGATTTTGAGAAAGTATTTTCCAAAATGGGGAGATGGGTGCATGTCATGGTGCACACCTGTAATCCCAGCACGCGGGAGGCTGAGGCAGGAAGATTGCCACTGAGTCCAAGATCAGCCTGAACTACATAGCTAAGCCCTGACTCAACAACACAACACAATACAAAACAAAACAAAGAGGATGTGGTAGGGCACTAAGGTAAGGGAGAAAGCAAACAGGAACAAAGAACCTGGTTCCAAGTGTCTAGAGATGGGGAGGGAACATTAGGCCCTGAATGGATCTCAACACAGGACACACTTCAGCTGCTACCACCCAGGCATCAGAGAGGAGACTGGAGTGAGACGCCCACCAAGATGCACCACTCCCATGTGCTCTGTGCAGCAGTAACTGAGCCTGCGAGGCGGAGCGTGCTCCCCCTCTTCTGCAACGCATCGACAAAAAGCAGCAAATGGTTCTGGGGTGGGGGCAGGAAACGTTCCACTGAAGTCTCAGGACCATGTCCATGTCTTCAAAATTTCACACTTTCTTTCAATCACGAGCAACATTTAAAGGGAAAATCGAGTGTCACGCAGTCAGCCATTGAGGAAGGGCGGTGGGTTAGTCAGGGCTCAGTCTTCACAGCAGGTGCCACCAACATTGGACACTCTCAATGCCTGTCGCAGAAGGACCTCAGCCGACATGCACCTCCCTGTCACCTGAGTGCTGGGAGCCCGCACAGGCCCTAAGACGTGCATGCTTGGAATCTGAGTAGGTCATGATCCAGAGAGGCTCCTGCCCCAGCCACCAGGACGACATAAAAACCCATCATTCCTTTGAGTGTGTTCCTCATGCTCACAGCCACCAGTGGAAGAAATTCACAGGCTCCCACGTGATCTGCTCATGAGTACATCCTGCTTCAACAGAGAAACGCTACCCGGTCTTCCTCTCCTCATACCAACTTCAAGAAAAAGGCAAGACCTACTGTTGGAAATTCATTCAAAGGCAGGCAGCAGGACATTTTTCATGAAGTTCAATGCCTACCATCACTTTTTGAAAAAGTAAGTTCAAAACAACTTTGGCTTTTACGCTTAGATTTTTCACGAGACACCAACTACGACATTCAGGCCCAAATCCAGAGCAGGTAAAGCTGGTCACCATGCAGAAATCAGCACACCAGCAGGCCACATACAGACGGACGGACGGAAGGACGCGTGCTGACATTAGATTACCTGGTGCAGGATCTCTTTGTCAAGCGGAGGTCCGAAGGGCACATCGGCTCCGGAGGGGTACGGGGAGTAGGGGTGTTTGCCAGTGTGCGGGGCCTGGATGATGAGCTGCTCCGTCCGGAAGAAGGGCCCAAAGTGCGTGTCGAAGTACTCCTTCTCCAAGCGGGCCTGGCTGCTGGGGGCTGACCACAGGTCCACTGGGTTGGTGGTGAGGCGGACAAACACCAGGCCTGAAGAGCACGAGGCGATGAAGACCAGCGAGAAGAAGATGACGTAGCCAGGCCTTTGGACGCAGAAAGCCCCCCAGCGTGTGAAAAGGTGCCTCAAACAGCCCTCGAAGCAGGTGCCCAGTGGGTCGCAGCAGGCGATCTCTCCTGGAAAGGTGGGAGGAAAAGGAAAGCATTGGCTCCTGCTGTGCAGGCTGAGTCCAGCCCTGGACACTCATGGGCCCTCCAGCTGCACTCAGGCACTAGACTGTGGACAGAGGTTCGCATCTGCACCCCTGAAAAGTGAAGCCTTTGGACTGCTCTGGGCACAGCGTTACTCCGCAGCCCTGCCTGAAGCTCACTCAGGCCTCACAGGGCCACCTCCAGCCCCAGGAGGAGCCCCTCACTATCTCCCTCTATTACGCTTCACTCAGTTCTGACTTCAGAGCTCCCAGGCAACGGCCACATCCATCTCCATCCCAGCCATGTCCTTGGCACCAGAACAGGCCATCTGCCACCTTGGGGAGGAAAGTGGGGCTCAGGGCCCACATGATCCGAGCTGACAGTGTAAATGAGCCTACCTTTGTCACTGGTGTCCCCACCAAGGGCCATGTTGCTGTCGATGGGAGTGTACTCCGAGACAAAGTATCGTTTCCTGAAAAATAAAGTGAGTGCAGGTGGCACTGGAGACTTAGCAAGATGAGGCCGTTACCGACATTCCCCAGGCTCACCAAGTGCTGCTTCCCTAGCCAGTCGTCTTCCTGCCCATGTGTAACCACCTTTCCTCTAAGTTCCCTGGGTGCCTACACTCACCAATCTCAGGAAAAAATGAAGACCATATGGCTAAGAACACACTTCATTAACGGGCAATTTCACTTTGCAACTTCGATCCTTCACTTTAGTGCCTTTCAAGGCACCATCAACCACAGAAGCTACAAACACAGCCAGCGCCCAGATCTCCTTTCTAAACACCATTTTCCAATAAAAATAAAAGGCCCCAGGGTTCCTCATAGAAGAGGATGGTTCCAGGTAGGGAAGATGAATCCGGTGCGGGGAGGTCAACAGAACACAGGAGCCTAAGTGATGGCATACTGGCTTGCAAAACCAGAACAACATGAATAATGTAATAAATCATGATATTGGAATGCAGTGTACAGCCTAAGTGAGAAGTCCCTACTGCAGTAATTGAGTAAGTAAGTGAGAATAAGTAAGTGAGTCCAGTTAGTAAGTGCAGAGGGGGAGAGGGAAATCCTACAGTACTACTAAGGACTGGCAGATGGAAACCACCAGTTGGCAGGCTGTGGGTGACAGTTTAAAAGATCTTAAAGTGCAACAAAAGAAAAAGTGTAACTTCACAGTGGAGAAACCCAGCAGATCATGATTACTAACTCAGCACTGCGTCCACACAGACATCATGGACTCAGGGCCACGAAGACTAACACACATCATCACAAACACACATCTAGGCGTGAGAAAGCATTTCAGATAAAGCCAACTTGAAGGATGTGCTGCAAACTAACTAATAAAGATCAACAATGTCAAGATTGTAAGTACAGGAGAGACTAGAGCCTGTCTGCTGCGAGTTGGAGAAGCGGCTGGGTGCAGTGGCACATACTGTGACACCAGTTACTGGGGAGGCCGAAGCAGGAGAATCACAAGTTCAAGGCCAGCCTAGGCAACTTAGCAAGACCTTGTCCCCGAATGAAATTTTAAAAAGGTTGGAGATCTGGTTCAGTGGCAGAGCACTTCCCCTGCATGTGGGAGGCAGTGGGTCTGATCCCCAGGACCACAAACGAAGAAATAAAACCACAAAAAACAAATGTACTATGGAATCCTGAAGCCAAACGAAGGGAATGAGAGGAAAAATTGATGAAATGTGAACAAAGCCTGTAGTTCAGCTAACCATAGTACATCAGCTGTTTTCATGGTTCTGATTTTCACACCACAGGTCTTCTGGGTACAACAATAGGCGAGGCGGGGAAAGGATACACACAGACTGTGCTATTCCTGCAGCTTTTCCCTAAGTCTACAGTTATTTCAAATTGAAAGTTCATGAAGAGGTATTGTCCTAAACCATGAAGCAATATCTAAAAGGACTGTGGTACTGCATTTACTGAGATCAGAGTTGGCCTGTGGGAGTCACTAAAGGAAGGGTCAGTGGGTGGTGCTTTGACTCACACATTGTTCTGAATAAATCAATAAAACTAACATCAAATGTCTAAATATCTAAACAACACATAGTTGTTACAAACTGCAGGACATATCTGCCAAGGAAACATTAAAAAGCTGCACTGGGGTAATTTTGTTCTTGCCCTTGATGACGAAAAAGAAAAAACAAGCAAGCTGCTTACCTGTAGCACCACACTGCAAAACATGCTCCAAAAAACACAACCAAAAATGCCATGTAGGTGATCCACATGATGACGTACATGGCGTCCCAGCCAAGGAGTCGCCAAGGGACGGGCGGGGGCGGGGGTTGGGGCTTGGGGCCGCACACGATGGAGCAATCCTGGCAGCTGCAGGGCCCCGTGACCTCATCCACAGATTCGTTGCAGGCTTTGGTGGCATTTCTCATGGGCTCCATGCCGTGGATGGGGAGATCTACAGGGTGAAAGTGTGCTGCATGAAGATCTCAATGGAAAACACTAAAGATTCTGTATTAAATCACATTTAACCCCACTATCACGGAGACTGACACCTGAGATAAAGCACCTGGATGACGAACTGTAGGTGTCTGTTTCACCTTGAGTCAGATGATGCTGTGCTCTGTTTCATAATTTTCTTACAATATTGTGCACTGAAGCCAGAGCTTCTTGCTTGCTAGCAAATGCAACACCACTGAGTTATACTCTCAGCCCTTTTAACAGTTTTCCTTTGAGACAGGCTCTGGCTAAGCTGCCCAGGCTGGCCTCAAGCTTGTGACCCTCCTGCCACAGCCTCCCAAGTAGCTGGGATCGAAGGAATGTGCCAATGGCTTTGTAAAGTTTCAAGTGACCTCAGTGACTTATGTGCATAGGGAGCTATCACTGATCCCCCGTATACCACATACCAAGGTGATCCTGCGCATATGTGTGTGTGTGTGTGTGTGTGTGTGTGTGTGTGTGTGTGTGTGTGTGTGTGTGTAGGCTTTGTGACTGAACCCAGGGTCTTCACGGTGAGCTAAATCTGGAATCCCAGGTGTAAACCACCACCCCAGCTGTTTTTTTTGTTTTTGTTTTTTTTTTTTTTTTTTGCAGTACTGGGGATTAAACCCAGAGCCTTTATACTGAGCTGTGTCCTTATAGGTGTTGAGATAGGGTCTTACTAAAATCACTAAGTTGCCCAGCCTGAGCTTGGACTTGTTATTCTCTTGCCTCAGCCTCCCAGAAATTGGGATTATAGGCCTGCACCACTATGCCTGGCACTGAGGTAAGTTTTCAACTGTGTCACCTTCGTTCTGGGCAGCTAGGCAAATGCTTTAGCATAGCTCTGGAAAAGGCCTTCACGGCTTTTTACAACATTTTTAAAAACAAACAAAACCCCCAGCTTATTCTTTCAATTACACAGCAGTCTCTAGCAACAATTCCTTTTCCTCCTCCATTCCCAGACCTCCTTTACTAGAGAGAAACTGGAGGAACCAGTTATTGTCTGTTTATCTGCCTATTGGGGATTATGTTTCCTTGGCTTTAAAACAATATCATAAACACAGCAAACTTGGATTTGTCATCTCTACCTGAAAAAATGGGAGTGATTGTAAACGGCGCCTGTCCGTTGTCCTTGTTGAACATGTACTCAATCCAGTTAGTGGCATTGCAGGTGTCGGCATCCCTCCCGCACAGCAGCCCCAGGGCCTTGTCGTTACTGGAAGGGGCCTCCACGTCCCGGCAGGCATTGTACATCGCTAGAAGAGGAAGGCGCAGGAGAAGATGGGGACACCAGGCTCGCTTCAACTCACTGCAGTCAGTTTAGCAAGCAGCTGCCTCCCAATCTTAAGCAACCACTGAGCGGTCTCTACAGATCTGCCCACCTTGGACCTTTCACATAGGGTCAAATAATTTGTGCTCTTCAGTGACTTCCTGCTCAGACCCGCCCATTTAGCAGGATGCACCTCTGGACCCCGGCTGTACTAATATGTTTATGCATTCTCTACACATTTCTCCAAGTGTTTCTTTTTATTTAAGAGATTTCACATTTTAGGGCAGTTTTAGGTCCATAGCAAAGTTAAGCGGGAATCACGGAGGGAGTTCTCACGCACTCCCTGCCTCAGTGCCACTATCAACATCCCGCACCAGACTGGTGCATTTGTTACACCGACCAACCACTGTCTCCCTCACTCCACAGGTAAGTTAACATCTGGATTCACTCAGTGTGTATTCGATGGACTGTGACCAATGGATCTAGCACTGTATCACTCTACTGCCTAAAAACCCTCTGCACTGAGTAACGCATTCCTTCTTGCCTGCTAAACACGGACTTTTTACTGTGGCCCAAGTTTCACCTTTTCCAGAATGTTACAGCTAGAATTTTATGCTAAGCAGCCTTTTCAGGTTAGACTTCCTCTCTCAGTAATACGATTTAGACTCTTCTCTCCCTTTTCATGGTTTAATAGCTCATTTCCTTTTAGTGCTGAGTATTTTCCTCTATCTGGATGCTCTGCAGTTTATTTACCCACCCATCTGTTGAGTAATATCTTTTTTTTTTTTTTGTATTTTTCTTTTTTATTGGTACCGGGGATCAAACTCACGACTGTCTGTCTGCTTGCAAGGCAGGCCCTTATGCCGCTGAGCTAAATCCCCAGCCCCTGTTGAGTAATATCTTGATTGCTTCCAAGTTTTGGCAATTATGAGTAAAGCTGTTATAAATATCTGCACGCAGGTTTCAGTGTGGACATGTCTTCAAGTCAATATTTGGGTAAACATCTAGGAGCATGATAAGTGTATGTTTAGTTTTGTTAAGAAACTGCCACAGGCTCTTCCAAAGTGGTTGTACCATTTTGGATTTGCCCAGGAATGAGTGAGATTCCTGCAGCTTCACATCTTCAGTAGCAGTTAGTGGTGTTGGTGCTCTGGATTTTGATCTTTCTAAATAAGTTATCTTACTGGTTGTTCGGGGATCGTACTCATGACCTTACACCTGCCTGGCAGGCGCTGAGCTATATCCCTGGCAAGTTATCTTACTGTTGCATTTAATCTGAACTTTCCTAATCACATATAATGTACAGCAACTTTTCATTAACTTGTCTACTACTATCGACATCTCTCTTTTGAAAAGATACTTGTTCAAGTTTTTTGCCTATTTCTCAATTAAGTTGTTTACTTTCTAACTGTTGAATTTTAAAAGTTCTTGGTATACTTTAGATGACAGATCTTAATCAAATATACCCTTTGCAAATATTTTCTTCCAGCCTGTGCCTTGTCATTGCATTGTTTCAATGTTCTCAGTTTTTCATAATCAATGATAACGCTATATTAGATGTTTTATCTGAGTCTCCTTATTGATTTGCATGCGTTTCTTTAAGGTGGTCTCTGGAGGTGGCATTTGGGAGGTTAGGATATGTTTATCTTCAACTTCGCAGGTTTTGCAAAACTGTGTTTTAAATGGTTTTTAAACATTTGCCCCAAGTTATGATTATGAGGAGTGCACTTTATCAGCATTTTCACTGCCCTACGTCCTCACTAACAGCTGGAACTGGCCACCTTTTACATTTGTGCCAATCTGATCACTGTAAGAATAACAGTTCATTGTTTTAACCTGCAATTTCTGAATTGCTCTGGGTACTAACCGTTAATATTCATAAATATTTTCTCAGGTAAAAAAATCTTTCCTTACCTTAAGTCATGAAGAAAGTCTATATTTACTTCTACAAAATTCCAAGATTAGGATTTTTAATCTATTCAACTTGCTTTTTAGTATATATATATAAAAAAAACTAGGTGAATATAATTAGTTTTCTCATCATTCATATCAAGCCTCCTTTTAAAACCCTTGATGATTTCTAATGCCACACTTGGTATACATCAACTTTCCACACATACTGAACACGGCTGTTTTTGGAAAGAATGTTCTCTCCCCAGTCAGGCTGGTTTTGTGTAACATCTTTTGGAAGATTAGTTCCTACGTATCCTGCTTTTTGCTGCTTTTATGAGCAGGATATTTTTTTATACTCAATTTTTTTTGTTATATGTGCAATTAGTCATTGTAATCACATGTTTTATACTGCTCTAGTAATCAGTTTGCTGATCTTATTGATTCTATCACTTTTTAGATTGCTCTTGGACACTTTGCTTAGCTGTGCCACATCATAAAGTATTTTATGATCTCTCTGTTTAGTCTATTTCAATCACTTTCTCATAAGATGTACTGTACACTTTGTTCTGTTTCTAATCTGTTCGTTCCTTTTCTCTATGGTCCAATTCTTTTCTTTCATTTCAATCATCTTTGACAGATGGTCTCTTTCACACTGCTCTGTTAGTTTCTGGGATGAAGGGATTTCTCCCATTAGTCCTAAAACAGCAGAAAATGACCTTTCCTCTGCCCTGCACATTCAGGTTTTGTTAGTTTAACCTCCAGTTTACTTCAGTTCCTGTTACTTCCGTTTCTTAGAAACGGCTGGTCGCTGGGATACACGGCGGGGCCCTATGATGCACACTGTAAGAAGCAGTCCCCAGTGACAGCCATGCTGCCTCTGTACTTCCCTTTGTAACCCCATAGAAACCTCCCTCCCTGAGCCTTTGGCCCTACTGCTTTGGGAATGATCCCAGTCCGGACAGCTGCATAATAAAACTGAGTTTTGCCTCCAAATCTCAGTGCTGCTTGGTTCTTGGTTGTGGCTTTGCTGTTCCATTTGGCTGGGAACTGAACCTGGGTCAACTGCTTGGAAGGCAGCTATGCTCACCACTGTACCAGCGAGGCATCTGCTTACTTTCTCTTCTTGGCTGCCAGAAGCAGAATTCTGATGGATAATAAAATGCTATACGTACTAAAATTTTCCAGTGGTAATTTAAAAATTAGCAAGAGGCTAAAGAAACTGCTTTAAAAGAGATTATTTATTGATTGTAGCTCAAATCCTAGCCTACAAGCAAAGCAATGACTCTCATTTGAGGATCACAAGAACCAAAATTTGTGACTTTCCACAGTTGACCTGACAACCAAAAGGAACCACTTAGTCCACTGTCCTGCTGTCAACTAAAAAGAAGAATAATCAAATTGACCTACCATTGGCAAAACTTTGTCCAATATAGTACTGTAACTCTTTCACATTGGTTCTTGTCTGGTTTGTGTCAGGATCAATGTAATCCTCGGTTGCTGTAACATTCAGAAACTGGCTCTGATGGGGGCTGCAGGTCAGCTCACAAAATAGGTTCATTAGGTTGTAAAAACAGGATGGACATCTAAAGAAAAAGAAGATTACATTTTGCATGGTCACAAAGACAGGACAAGAAAATACTTTTTTTTTTTTTGGTACTGGGAATTGAACTCACAATCTTGAGATTGACAGGCAGGTGATTATGCTGCTGAGCTAAATCCCCAACCCGAAAAAATATGTTTAAAATGAGGAAGTATTTAAAGTTTCCTGAAGAGACAAATCAGCTCCCATGAGAACAGATTCATAAACCTCAGGCTGGCTGTGTGGCACCGCACACCCAGAGCCCTCACAGCCAGCAATGGCCCTTCATTAGGCATCAGATCTGAAGGATGGCAGTCAGCCTGCAGTTCTCAGGAAAATCCCGCCTTTCTAAAATACATGCAGCCAGCGAACACCACAGCTGTCTTTTTATCTTTAGAAGCCACGCAGACATCCTCCTGTTTCCAGGCGGCTGGGGATTACCCACGAGGAGCCATGAGGCTTGCTGCAAGCTGGAGGCCAGCCTGAGGTACCAGCCTGAACCATACAATGAGGTCCTATCTCAAAACACACAACTGTATTTAAAATAAAGTTTTTTTTAAAAAAAATGCCCTAATTCCATTTATTTTTTTCCAATGTAATTTCAAAAAGAGATTTTTTGAATTTGTGATTTACAGACACCTTTATCCTGGAGTTGTGACAATTCTGACTTAGAAAAAAAGTGAGGATCACCACATTAAAAGTTCATTTTCTAACCTACCAAAAGGCTTCTTCCATGCCTCAGGTAATCCCTGGGCCTCCAAAAACACAGAAGGATTTCTGTGTGGCTTTTAAAGATAAAAAGACAGCTGTAGTGTCCACTGGCTGTGTAGATCTCAGAGATACACAGATTTTCATTAGAATCACAAGCTGACAGCTGTCCTTCAGGTCCAAGGCTTGCACTCTGAATGTTGACTTGCTACGCAGCAAAAGAGCCCTCTCTCCCCTTTGGTCCACTGTCCTGTACAGAAGCTATTGCTTCATTCACTTTGCATTCTCTCTGCCGACAAGGGAGAGGACTCTCCAATCTGATCCAGCCCACGTGACCAAAGCCTCCACTCCAGTGAGAGACGGACACCACTGACTTTTTTCTGTGCTTTACTGTGGCAAAACCAGGAACTACAACCACCCCATTCTGACAAGAATCACTCTTGGAATGCAGAATTTTCTAGTTTCCCATGAATTACAAATCTTTTTCCATGCTATTTTACTTAATTTCCAAGATCATCAAATCTGACAGCTCCCTAAGAATCTATATGTCAAGCTGTTCCTCTTAGATGCTATGATGCCTCTGATAACACAGGGAAAAGCTGGCAATCTGCTGAAGCTTATGTCCATAACGCCTCCCTCAAAGCAGGTGCTAAATGAGTGTCTTTCAGGTAAGGGATGAAGGCTCCACTCTGGCTTCATCAAGGGCCAGCAGCCTTCCATGGGGCATGGTGGCCTCCAAGTCTTGACTCAACCTTAGGACACTCAACATGGTGTCCACTCTGTGTTGCCCATTCTGGTTGGACACAGGGCTCCTCAGTGGAAGCTGGCGTGTGCCCTGCCACAGTGGTATCGGCTGACAGCATATTCTCTGCTATTATTTGCCCCCACCCCGCCCCATCAACCCCTATGAGTCTGCTAAAGCCTGAAAAATGTGCAAAGGTACCACAAATTGCTGTTCTAAAGAACACCATGCCACCAACTTGTTCTTCTAAACATACAAAAACTGCTAGGAAGGCACAGAGAAAAGCCTGCTTGGTACTGGCCTGGGCCACAGAAAATGGAGAGAACTGAAAGTGAACTACGATGAAACCAGTCGACTCCCCAGGAACAAGCTTAACAGTGACCCAAACCCAGCTGCCCTGAGGAGCTGAGTCTAGCACATTGTTTACCACAGGAAGAGGCCAGAATGGCAGGCAGAGCAGGGGAGGAGGGGAGGACATGACCGCAATGGCATGGGACCTGAGTGGACACTAGGAAGTGGTCCCCACTGTACGTGGACACTGCTTCTAGAGAACCCAGCCTCAGACAAACACCCTGCAGGCCAGGACATCCCAGGGGATATCAAGTCTCAACTGAGTGCAAGTGGGAAGAGAACTGAGTCTGGTGAGTACATCCGCCTTACTTATGGGTTTGTGGGGGATCAGGGTCTCAATCTGTAGGTCAGGGTGGCCTTGTACTCACCAGGCTGGCCTCACATTCACAGTGATTCTCCTGCCTCAGCCTCCAGAGCGCTGGCATTGCAGGCATGTACCACCACACCTGGATGCCTCTTTACTTATGACACATAATAAAGAGTGCTTTCTTAAAATAAAACGGGTAAACTGACTTTTAAAAATCTGAACGTTCATGGCTGACAAGTAGCTAACCCGATGGCTTCTGTGTGCCTCATGGGCAACCCACCTGGACAGAAACTGCAGAGGCAGCTGCAGGTTGTCTTTCAGGGTCTGCAGCTGCTGAACGTCACAACAGAGGCTGACATTGTCAAAGAAGAATCCCGGACAGAGCTCCTTCAGGGAGAGAGCACAGCAGGTGAGCAGCACGGTTAGCAGAAAGCACGGCAGCCTGGTGAGATGGGCAACCTCACTGTCCGACCCCTCAAAGATGCACGAGGGTACAGTGAGGATTCCCAGCGTGCTTGTAGCGGTCTCTCAAATGCACTGTGGTAAACTAGGGATTCATATGTAGAGGTTTCAGAGACAATTCCAATTTTTTTTCTTGCTTGGAAGCTCTCTTTCTTCCCCTGACAATCATTCTACCTCTTCTTACAATTTTTGTTTCAGTTTAGCCAGAATGTTTTTTGTGATTTCCATTAGTCACTCCAGGAAAAGTCAAAACCTTCACTCATTCTCGTGACAGGAGCAAGTCTAGATCTATCATCAGGGCAACGTGAGTTTTGATAATACAGGTTTCTAAACCCAGTCTTTCACCCTGACTTTCCAAGTTATTTTCTAAAACCCCTGTTTATCAAGGATGACAAAACTGATCAGAGAAAGCAGAACCCAGCAGCAGATGAACCTTCCAGGTTCTCGGGGACTGTGGAGCAACCACAAAGACAGCGGAGGTGGGAGTGGAGAAGTCACAGTGTCTTAGTGGCAGAGAATATTCAAGTCCTGAAATCTAGGAACCAAAAAAGCTACTCCCAATATGTTTTGTAGAAGTTCCAAGGAGTGACACTGGAGGAACCAAGGTCACTAATCTATTGCTGGGAGACTTTATGAGCGTTACAAGGTCAGCTCCTGAAAAATGAAGGCTCTGGAGTTCTTCTCTGTATCATGTGCTACAGGTTAGAGGCAGGGATAAGAATGAACCTGTTACTAGCCTTCCCTCCACCCTTGATCCACCATACACTTAATCCCAGAGGATCTCATGATGTGTGGTTTGCATTCCCAGTGTTCAAGACAGCAAACTTACCTGCACTAAGTCATACCCGTCCTTTGGCAGTGGTTTTGGTGGCCCAGAATATTTGCAGTTGTACCTTTTATCTCCAGATGCAATTCCACACTCTCCGAACCAAATGCAGGACTGTGAAAACACCTACAGGGAGCCCATGAGACTAGGTGTCAGCTGCATCTCAATGGTAAAACAAGTTTCAATTATAAAAAACACTCGAGTACCATTACAGAACCTTCCAGATTCCCTGCAAAATGAAGTAACGCCAAATGGCAGTTGTTAAGCATTTTGAAAATAATGAAAATAGAACAAAGGTCCAAAACTGGATTTGTCAGGTTAGTGGCAACAAAAAGTAGACAAAAAAAAAAAAAAAAAAAGGAAACCTCAATTAGTGATTCTACCTCTTGCCAGTGTATTTTAAAAGGAAGCTATAGTAGCCATAGTTCCATGTAAGAATCATAGAGCAAAGCAAAATGGAATTAGTACTAACATACTATTTCTTGTACATCTGTGGAATGCTCTAAACTTTACTGGTATTTCCCCCTGTACTTAATATCAGTACTTTATACTACAAACATCAGGACATGGTGTTCACTTTTGCTCTTAAGATGTCCTTGTGATTTAAGTAGAAAGCAAGGAATCTGCACGCTAACTTTAAGGAAAATCACCTAAGCAATCTAAAGAAAAAATTTGTTTAAATCTCTTAAGAAAAGATTTCTCAAGAGCCACTCATATTCCCATGTGAGAGTCACAAGGCTGTCAGAAAACTCCCAAGAAGGGAGGGTTCGGTGTGAATCAGCACCTTCCAAGGCTGCTGCCCAAGCAACCCAAAGTTTGGCATAACAGTGTATTCAGCGCCACAGAGGCCCCAGCAAGCCAAGGCCACTGGCTTGTGACCACCTGTCCCCAGTGAAACCCTAGATCCCAGGAAGCGACCACAGCTCCCGAGATACCTGGCGGAAGAGCCACGCAAGCAACAGCACAGGTTCTAACGCAGGGTGTTGATCCCCTGGGCAGAAACTGCAGAGGCAGCTGCTTGGTGTCTTTCAGGATCTTGGGCTGCTGAACTTCGCCACCCACAGAGGCTAACACAGATCTCACAAGGCACAAATCCCACAACAGTCCCTGAAGCCCTCAGACCTGACATTAGAAGCAACCAACCAGGTTGGGGTGTGTGTGCGCAATCAAGGAATCTGAGTCGATGTAGTTTCCTTTGGATATTACAAAATAAAAATGATGCATACCCATCTCTCCACTCACTAAGTCATATATTTAGGCCACAGGAAAGGAAATCATCCAAGTGAGGAAGTGACAAGCCTTTAACCAGACCTAACAATACTAAGGAAAGAAATGCAACTCTGGGTTTTCGTCAAATTGAAGTATGAAGAGGCAAAAGCTAATCAGAGAGGCAGAAGAAACTCCTGATATTTACATGTAATTTAAATAGAAGAGACACTGCCCTCCCTAGTTGGCAGATGATTCTCAACTGACTGATGTCAAGGAGGCCTTGCCACTGAGTTAAAAGTCCTAAGGCCAACTAAATTTATCTGAGCAAGGGTAAAACACAACTGATACTGAATCCAGCAGATACCAGAACCAGAGCAAGTTCCCAAAACCCCAACAATGTGATCAGATAGCACTTATAGAAAAACTGAAGGGAGGCTTAGAAAACAGGGCCAAAGATTAGACTTAAGTTAGTTAATTGGTTACCTTTTTCAACCACCAAAATTCGAGCTGTGATTTGAATTCTGTGTTGGTTTGGTTTGTTGGGCCCAGTGCAGGGCCCAAACCAAATGCGTGCCTCCCACAGATTTCAGCTAACAACAGAAACCAAATCCTGGCATGGCCATGGCATAGGAGATGGGCATCTGGAGCTTAAGTTTCCCTTCCTCAGCACTTGGTGCCACAAGAGCAAATCAAGATGACCCAGAGCTGTCTGGATTCCTTTCCACAACGATCATCCCTTTCAACATTTATTTCAAGACAAAGCACTGTTTCTACCCAACTAGTGGAGAGGGTGGGGAAGGGAAGGGCTTTGAGCTTGGTGAGGAGCCTAGGTTCTCAAGAGGGTCAGTGCTGGCACTGAGCTCGTCATAACTGGTACCCGTCCACACCTGCCAACTGTTCACACCTGCAGCCTATTATACAACCATGCAGAGTGGGAATTCTTCCTGCTTATGAAATGCAGCTCATAGTCTCTGCTCATCTCACAGGTCTGGTGTGAAGATCAAAAGATACATGTATATTACACACATATACACATATCCACACTATTTAGCAAACTACAAAGCACAGTACCATCAAATGTAAAGAATTAGTTGTCTTCCAACTGTATGGGACCTCTACCAAGAGGTTGTGAACTCTGAAGAAACACCTGAGGTTTCTCCAGGAGCAGAACAGTGGGCCTGGTCTGCTTCTAAGAGGGCACCCTGCCTACAGCAGTCCTAAGCCAGTGACACCCAAACGTGCTTCATGTATCGACCCAGTTATGCCAAACAATGGACTGGTGTGGGAGGTACTATAAAGGGTACTTTTACATGCACTTTACAAATGTGGAAACTGAGGAACCAAGATGCTAAATGTCTTGTCTGAGATCATGCAAAACAGTGGACAAGCCAGGATTCAAACTACAGCACCCCTACTCTACAAAGACTCCCCATAAAGTACAATCTCCTGTGTGGAACACCCCTCCCCCTGCAGCAAGCAGCCACCCCACATCCTCCTGAGTGAGCTTCCTCAGGCTCCTCCACCGCCTGCCCTCCTAGGCACAGCTGCCACATGGCTCCCCCTCAGCAGTGGCCCCAAAGTTTTTGGGTGCTCAGAACCTACAACCTACCCTTCCTGCTGCCTCTCCCTGGTTCTGTCAGTGCCCCTCAAAGTGCTACACTTAACACTGCAGTCTATCCCTCACCACTTCTGTCCCACGGTGGGTGGCATCTGGCTGCCTCTGCATTGCTCTCTGGGGTCCAGCCTTCCTGCCCACCAATTTCCACTTTACCCCAGGCTACCTGATAAGGACACTCCCAAACCTCCCCTCTGAGCTGCCTCAAGGAGCATAAGCCACACACACACACACACACACACACACACACACACACAGCCGCAGGCACCCTATTAGCAGAATCCTTTGATCAGGTCTGGGCAGCAGGAAACCGAGGGTTATCCTGGCAAAGAGACTCATTGGAGGTTCTCTCTGAGACTCACAGAGCCAGACCTGGGCTGCTGGGGGGGGGGGGGGCAGGTCTTCTTCCTTTGCACTATAGGTCATCCCCCAGTAGACCCAGGAACCCCAGGGGCTTAAGCAGACAAGGCTGCAGGTGCTCACCTCTGCAACCTGCTAAGAACTCTACTAGTGTCTGAGCCACTGGATTCCAGTTTCAAAATCATCATGGCACAGAGGGCAGTTAGGTCTTTATTCATGACAAGCTGAGCGTGCCACAAAATCCCACAGGCTCACAGCAACAATGGCACACCAGCAAACTAGGCTCAGGTAGGCCACATGCCCTTTCTGAGACAGGCATTACTATATGGTCCAGCTTGGCATGAAACTTTCCATCTGCCTGCCAGAGCCTTTCTAGTAGTTGAGATTACAGATGTGAGCTACAATACCTCCTGTGACCCACTTTGGTTTTTTGTTTGTTTGTTTGTTTTTGTTTTTTGTTTTTTTGCTTTTGTTTCTTTTTGAGACAGGGTCTTGCTACGCAGTTCAGGCTAGTCTTGTGCTCACTTTGTAGCCCAAGTTGGTCTTGAACTTGCAAAGATCCTCCTGCCTCAGCCTCCTGAGTGTTGTTATTACAGGTGTGTGCCACCATGCCATGCTCTGCTTCCTTTTTAAACAAAGCACCTAATCTTCAAATTTAAAGCTACCTTCATTATAATGACACACGGGGCAAGACTCCTTATTTTATACTCAATAATATTCAGTTGGGGAAGAAAGCATTATGTCTACACTGAAAATAAAAACCAGCAACCTTTGAAGTTTACTATAGCCAAAAAGAAAAAACAAACAAAACAAAACAGGAGATGGATGGTAGGGATGGTCACACACAATGTGATATACTCAGTGTCACTAAACATGACATTAAATGGAAATTTTGTGTATTTTACAAAAAGAAGAAGAGGAGGAGGAGGAGGAGGAAGAAGAGGACGGTGGCAGCACTAGCAGCAGCAGCAGCTGCCCATGAGCTCACATCCTTGGGCAGGAAAAAGGGAAGCCCAGGGTTACCATCTGCGTATTGGGGCTAAATAAGCAGAAGCCAGATGCATCAGGATCAAGCACTATGGGGCTGAGTGTTCCGGGACACGACAAGGTCTGTAACATACCCTGTCAGAGCCGGACTGAAGTCAGGGGCTTTAGGCTGTTTGCTGGGTTACAACAGAACAGTGAGAATGAACAGAGTTCACCCAGCTCATGCTTCTGAAGCTGGGCAGTCCAAGACTGAGGGGCTGCATCTTTCCATAGTGAAAATCACTAGGCAGCGGGTGCGAACTCCAGAGGGAGGACAGCTGAACTCACGCCCTTGTAGGAGCCCGTTCTCGTGATGATTTTTTTTCACAGTTTAATCTCATGGTCAGAACAATCTTATAGAGCTAGTGATAACTACAAAAATTACCTTACGCACTTAAAAACTTTGCCAACTCCTAAAATATTGAAAAAAGTGGCTACAGATTTTCCTGTAATTACAAATCAATACCTATTCATTCCAAAAAAGCCACAAATCACAGGTGTAAATGAAATATGTAACACTGAGGCTCTCTGCACCGATCCACCCTATCCTGTTTTTCAGGTTTAACTAGTACTAATTTAGGAGACCCAGGATCTTGGCTTTAATTTCTCCCCACAAGTAAACCAGCAGAGACAGACACACACGTGCAGTGACTTTTAAATCGCTTTTTCACAAGGAAGCCTCAACTTCCTCCCATAGATTGACTTCCAGCTCTCCATGAACTGCCTTTCACTGTCTTTATTCAGATCCTGGAGGCCACATGCCAGTCCACGTCTCAGCCTCAGAACAACAAACCCACTCATTGTTTCCTGAACAGGTTGCAGTGCTCGCCATCCTAGAACACCCTCCTTAGCTAGGCCTTGGTCAGCAGCCTCTCCCAAGACCCATTTCCTCACTACCCTAACCTCTGAGTCCCTG